CTCCAAGACGGACTGAACCTATCCACCAAAATCTGTGATATATGGATACATTGTTGATGAGTTATGAGCATTTATTTCTAAGCCCCGCATTTTTGCTAGTACGTTTTGATTCATGGCGGCAATATTTATCGTGTTAACATGCTCATTTTCTACGTTAATGTGTATAACCCTCCGCCGATGCTGTATACGAAGTTTGGTGTTCAAAAATAGAAAATTGAAATTTAAGTGAATATTTCACTGTTTTGAACATTATGCTAATTAGAAAAAAATAAAAGTAGGCGGAGCTTAGGGGTCCAAGAGGATTATTTGTAGAACAGGTCCACCCGGATATGTGTGCAAAATTTCAGGTCATTCGGAGTTACGGTGCGACTTTGTAAATTTATTCCGAAATGGGTTTTTCATAGGTGGCGCTAGCGAGCACCTTGGACAATTTGAACCCATTGACTCCAGAATGTTGAATTTTTCACGGGTCCTGGCGTCCGTGCAAAATTATACAACTTTGTGAGCGTTCTAAAGCCCTCAAAAACAGGAAACGCCAGCACTATAATAAGAAGAAGAAGAATTCCACCAATAACAATAGGTTCCTCGCACTTCGTGCTAGGACACCGTTGGGGTCCTAGCACTCCGTGCTCGGGCCCTAATAACAGCAATAATAATTGGGAGGGGGGGCGCGGCTGTTCTTATGTTCGCTGAGGGGAGGCTCACCTTCCCACACTTTGAAAACCCCTGACTTAGAGGTTAAACAATAGCAGGACACTCTGGGGACTAGATTTATGATTCGAAAATTATAAAAGTAGGGTAGACATGTGGAGATTATCCGGCTGAACCAAACGTGATCCGTCTCTTGAATGTGTTTCAAACACAGACCTTATTCTGAGCTATTTTCCAAAATCCTATGGAGAAATTGCATTGGTTTTTGACGAAGGAACCGGAAGGAGTTTACTTCCGGGTTTTAGGACGCGTCACTGCGGTTCTCTATCAAAATGTAAACATCTCAAAAAGTAAAATAGCATTAAAAAAGTTGAAAATATACATGTGGAAATACAAATGTACATACATTTAAGACAGAAGCAGCAGCTAAAGCATCACCTGGAATAATACATAAGGGTGCCATGGACATAAGAGGAACATAAAATAATGCTTGAAGAAAATTGATGAACAAAAATAAGCAGTCTGTGAATATTTTGAGTCTAGTTATTACACGAATAAAATAAAATAAAGTCAGAAGGAAAACAAAGTAAACCAATACATCCAGTGAAAAATGTAGAGATGTACTAATTGCTCATCCAGGGTCTTTACTAATTAATGATGGTTTGATCGTGCGCATAAAATCGCCAGTGGCAGTAACTAACGCCGGGCATGCATGCACGCAACATTTTCTGATTCGGCAGGTCAGACTTTAAAAAGATGCTTTGTCAGAATCAGATGATGAAAATGCAGTCGAGGCAGAAACACAGAGATGAACGCCCACCTGCTCCTCGGCCACAGGAGAGTTGTCCAGCAGCGGAGACTGTGTGGAGGGGGAGCCTCAGCGGGGGCGGGGCTGCATCGGGGGGCGGTTCGGTCCTCTCTGCCTGAGGGAGGGGAACAACCTGGTCCACTGTAAGAACCCAGGCTACACACAGACACAGAGGCAGAATCAAGCACTTTGGAAATACTATTCTCTGACATCTATGGAAGCAAATTGGAGACTTTATAGATAACATAATAGATACTAATTAGGAAGCACTGTGAGGGGAGTTATATTCATTTTATTTTCAATCCATTGTGTTTTGGTTCCTGATGCACTAGAGCTATCAACCTTATTCAAAGTAGTATGTCGTTTTATTCTGAATAGGCCCAATCCTGCTATAAGTGTGTGTGTCCCTGTACCTGTGGCTGCGGCTGTGGCCTGGTGTTCCTCGTGGACTCGTTGTATTGGGCCAACATCAGCTGCTGGTCCAGAATGTCCATCCTCTGCTGCCTCTGGATGTCCAGAGTGGCCCCCATCCCCACAGGGGTCTCACTGCTCGGCTGGGAGGCTGGATGTTAACAGATGTTAACAACACATTACTAGGCAGACCAATAACATGTCACCCTGTGTAGAATACATGCAAAGTGCACACAATGAACAAACACAAGAGAAACTAAATCTCCATGCCAGGCCCTGCAACAGTAGTCATTAGGGTCAATTGGCTTTTTATTTGGGGAGCTTTTGTGTTTATATGATCACTTAATGATTTACTCACTTCTAGAATATACCGCCCAATACAAGACCAGCCACAGGAAATTGGAGTGGTACAGTCCGCCTGAGATCTGTAAGCAACGAAAAAAAAAAAGTCTTTAGGATTGAACGTATAAGCAACAAGGTAGGTATATTGCTGTTGAGCAACAATTAATTAAATTACTTGTGAAATGTTATCACACAAGCTAGAGCGAATACCACAAGCTTTATCCAATTTAAGTTTATTGTTTTGGATCTCTAGTTCACTCAAGTGCTGATCATGACTTCACGAAGCACCCAGTACACTTTCTAGACACAGAGGAAATAACAAGAAGAATGTGGCTACTTACAAGTCCACTGAGTGCAACGAGCCACATGAAGGGACCGGACGTCAACAGCTGCCCCACAGAAACAGAGAGGATGACGGACACAATTAAAACCAGACTCGTTGGGGACAGAGTATTCTCAACAATGATGAATTAGCATATATCACGGCACTCGCAGACATGGGCTTACCTGCAAGCCTACTATGTAGACCAGAGACTTGTTGGTGATGTGGATGTGGCCCAGGACCTGGGTGACCGGCATGCTGGGGATCAGCCGGTAGAAAGGCACGAACAGAGAGAAGACCGGAGCGATCCTGAGAGAGGACAAGAGAAGTCAAGAGGATGGAACAAATATTATATAATAATAAAAGCAGCTTAATACAGATCACAAAAAAAAAATGGATATTAAAACTATATATATTTAGCAGTGCTTTTCAGGAAATATAGGAAAGACAATATTAGGGTTTTTCTTCTTTGAATACACGCCACCTTTTCATATTTTAATTGCAGAATCTCCAGTGTTCATATCAGTGACAAACAGTTGTTGCCTTTCGAGACATGCAGCACATGCATTAGTAATTAAAAATAGTAAAAAGTAGTAATAAAGAATATCTTATCTTATTATTTTATCTTAAGGTGTATCATCTATTGTGGCTAGTAAAGTGACAAATCTTCTCACAGTCCTGCGGGCAGTTCCTCCACCTCATAGTCAAACAGAAGCTGGAAAGCCTGACCAGCAGGAAGTCCATCAGCGCAGAGAGAACCCACGTGCCAAACAGGAAGGACTGGAAGTAAAGTTCAAAATGTAGAAGATTGGAAAAATATCTTGAAAAGGTTGAGTCTTGTGGATGTCTTTAAACATTTTACTACAATTGTACAAACAGTGCCATTGTCAAATGTTGTTTACACAGAGAACTGCTTCGTGAAAGATGAGGAAGTTGTGTGAACTCTTCTCTAAATGATACACAGGTACAACTTATATTGATTCTGATTGATGATCATACTTATAATCCTATTAGAAAAGATCTTAACATTTAGCTTCTGTTTATGAGATTAAGTAGAGTGTGAAATGGCAATTCATCAAACTAATTCCATCTATTGTAGTTTCATCTAGTTCACATAACAACATTAGCAAGTTTATTAACTTTGTATGGATCTTTGTGTTAATCTATCACTGATTATTGGTACTTACAGCGAACTTCCTGGTTCCAAACCTCCTCTCAAAGATTCTGAAGTTGTAGATGAGCAGGCTGCTACAGAAGGCGTCCTTCACGTCCAGACAGACAGCCTGCCAAACAACAACCTCCACACCTGCAGCAGGGGGGAGAGAAGAGTTATACTCACTATACACATACACCTTACAAACAGGGGAAGATGGACAAATTGATACTTTGTGAAATATGCTTTCTGAAAAACAGAGTGTTTATATCTCACATAGCAGAGCCCCCAAGTAGCACTACATTTCCAATTATTATCAAACTCTTGTCATGATAATGATTAATGTATTTAGGGATTCTAGTGTTTAAACCCTTTGTCCCCAACACCTGTGTTTATTTTATCTCTTTGTATCTACGTCAATGTATAGATACAAACATACTATTTTTACATTAGAGAAATTACATACTAAAATAGGCAACCCTTCCTACTAGGTTAAAGGTATATAAAAACAAAAGAACACAGAGACAGAAACCCAATCAAAGTTCCAAAATTGTAAATAATCATACCTTACATATGTTTATTTATAGCCTTATTTATTTTTTGAAATGCTTGCAAAGTGAACTACACATTTAAGATTTCTTGTCACATCCAGTACACAGGTTAACCTGACAGATGTGCATAGATGTGTATAACCATACCAACTGTCCACAATCCATACTAGCCCTTTCTTTTCAACAACTTCTGAATACAGTAACAGAAAGTTATCAAATTATTCTGCCCTTCATACATAATCTCTGTGTTAAGAACATTCGGATCACATTTTAAAGCATGTAAGTTCTATAATAAATTATTAAAGCTTGGTTTTGCATGAGTTTCCCCACACCTCTGTATAGAACTATGAGAGTGGCAGTATATATGAGTTCTGCTTTTTTGTTTTATATCTGGAGATACTGGGTATGGTTGTTAGCCCCCCACCAGTGTGTGTTTCTCTCAGACAGACAGGAGACATCATACCTGGTGCTGTGTGACCTGCAGAGTGTATACGAACAGCTCCTGGTACTGAGGCAGCAGGGTGAGCATCACAGTCAGACAATTAAGAACCAGCAGGAGGCCTTTAGACAGAGGAGCCTTGTCTGTAAACAACACATACATACAACATCTTGTTTATTATGTTACAGTAAATTAGACCACAGCTTTGTCAATTGAAGAGAGAGAAGTGGCTGATTTCTGTATGGGGGCAGGGCAGACAGTAGCTGGTTATTTAGCTTATCAGTGGATTCCCCTTTCCACATATTTCTATTATTTTAAACGACGAAACATTTGCTTAACACACTGACTAAATACATATGTAGTTTATTAACCAAACGCAGGTTTAACGTATACATAATACCAAGAGTAAATGAATGACAGAACAATGCTAACGTGGGTTAGCTAAGCTAGCTGTTGTGACTGACAGGAGGAGCGGTGAGAGGGTAGCCACATCACGGCTGTCGTTTACCGGGGATCCGGGATACTTACACAGCCCCCGAGAGCCGGTGGTGGTAAACATCGTGTCCAGAAGAGGTAACGAAGTCCCTTATTCTCAAAGCCAAACACAAACCAACTCTAAAACACCGAAATAAAGTTGTAGAAAGGATCCATGCTGTGTGAGGAAAAAGAGACAGCGGTAAAGGGAATCTGCTACAGGAGCCCGAGAGGCCCAAAAAAGGTGAGTTTGCGGTCCGCTGACGTTAAGCAATACTGGCCAGCAGAGGGCAGTGTCGCTCTGCAGTGAGGAAGAGATGAGGATCACCAGATATTTTTGATAAGATAATTTCCAAACGACTATTTTACAGTCAGGTCTTTATTGCTGAGGGAAGAATAGAGCATTAAAGAAATCCATACCGTATGTGGTCCCGTCCTCAATTGCTAAAATATATAAGCATTTCCATTTAATTTATCTAATGATTATACAAATAATAATATTTGTACAGTGATATAAATAAAATCATATTACTGTGATCAAAATCATACAGAAAATAAATGTATTTGGGTCTGAAGTGATCATTATAATGCATGTTCAAATAAAAGTAACTCAACAAAAAGTAGTAAACAACTCAAAATTATGAAATAAAAAGCTAAAGTAATCATAAAATAATAAAACATCCAGTCTTTACAGTGCAGACAACAAATACTTATTGTAATATTAACGATAGTTATTATAATAAAATGTGTCTCTCTCTAAAAAGAAATCCACATTCAAAACAAGCAAGCCAAAAATCTTCAGGAGAAAGTAAAGTCAACATAAAACAATATAAAAGAACGTACAAGAAATAGATTTGAACAACCTTTAAAAATAAAAGGCTTTAAAGAAAATAAAACTTATTTTGCTGATGAGAGCAAATTATTTTAAGCTAACCTGTAAATATATTTTATGAATGATCATGTGTATCCACACAGACACGGGAGTGACACCAGTGTCCTCTCCGCATGTGCAACCTTGTGACCCCCAGGTTAACAACCAGATCTAACTGTGGCCCTCGTGCAGCTGGAACCTGCTCACACCAACGGGATGCTGTCGATATGATCCTTCTTATAAAGGGCATTTTCCTACCCACGATGACGCCCTGCTGTTATCTGATGCCCCTCAGACAGGGTTCCCCAGGCTCTGACGCTGGTCTAATAATGTTTGTCACTTATGATCCATTTGCTCAGTATGTTTATGGGTTGTATATGCAGAGAAGCAGCAGACAGGGAGTGTTTCATGTCTTGAAGCCATGTGGTGAGCCTGCTGACTGAGAGGTAACTGTTAATTATCCTCGGGGCCCTGAGCAGGATGTGGCCACATAGAGTCCAGATTAATGTCTTTTTCTTATGGTCCTCTTGGCCCTATACACACAGAGTCGTATCTTGTCAAGGTCCAGACTTCCTTTGCAGCAGTCCGACTTTGTCTTAACTTCAGGCTGCCAGATTTCTTCACATCCAACCCTGTGTGTACCTTCATGCCCGGCTGTGATTGCTCCTGAGCCAATTGATCCCATGCTTATTTTTCCTCCAAGTACATTTGAAAAGATATGGCGAACAGCTGTCTAATAGTGTTGCATTTCCCCATCATCCACAGATGCATTGTGCGTGTTAGTTCCCATTGGTTAGTTCCCACCCATTAGGTCTATTTGGCTGCTTGTGGTCAGATGTGACTGCAGAGCAGAGCTCAGGAACAGATTGCTAATTGTGTTTCAGACCTTCTCTGTCACTGATGTAGGAGAGAGGTCTAAAAAGGTTACTTTGCCCCTGTTCTCAATCAAAGATAATCAGATTAAACAGCGCCGAGATGTGCATGTGTGTATGTGTGTGTGTGCTTACCAATAAAGAGACTCCAGATTTGGAGACAGCCTTGACTCCTGCTGTTTGCTTTGTTCATTAAGAGGAGATGAGCAGATGGTTTGCTGGTCGACTAACTTTTCTTCTTCTTGTATTTTATTTGTTTTGTTGTTGTGTTTCTTCTTCTTCTTAATTTGTTGTTCAAGGGCGGCTGGCAAACNTTTTAAAAAGTATTAAACGGCATTTTCCAAGGTATTAAGAAGGTTCACAGTTCCCGACATGTCGTTTCAGTAAATTAAAGGGTGTTTCATGTTGTCGTTGCTGTGAACCTTCTTAATACCTTGGAAAATGCCGTTTAATACTTTTTAAAAGCCTTAATTTTCGCTAAATTGATTTATCAACTTTTAATACTTTTTAAGACCCCGCGGACACCCTGTGAACTGTAGTGAGTAGAAGTACACCATGTACCTCTGAACTGTAGAGGAGTAGAAGTACACCATGTACCTCTGAACTGTAGAGGAGTAGAAGTACAAATTAACAAAAAAAATTAAAAGTCTGAAAAAGTACAAGTGTCTCAATAGTGTACGTGAGTAAATGTACTGCTCTGTATAAATACATGTTTTCAGGTTTCAGGGCTTCCGGGAGAAATTGGCACTCTTACTATGCGTCCATGTTGTTCTCGCTTGTTCTCTGTCCTTTGTGGGATTCATGACTCGGGTCTGAGCTCCAGCTTCAGCACATTACGTCTAGTGGTGCTGCAGAAGGGTACGTTCACAAAAAATAGTACAACGGTTCATGAGATTTAGTGCTCAAACAACATGACGACTAATTCAACAAAAACAAATACAAACAAAAACATTTTTTCGAATGAGTTATTTAAACACAGCAAAACTTCTCTGGATCAGCTTCTCTTTGCTCCATTGTTTTATATCATTGTTATTTAAACATATTTTGCACCTTTTCACTTTTGGTTGGAAAATTACAAAAATCAAATAAAAAAAATGAGAATAACTGTTAGTTACAGTTTCAAATATCAACTGAAAAAGTGACAATATATATTGATCTCGTGTTCCCAATTTTCTTTTTCCCAAAATAATATTATAATATAATTTCTAATCGCTCATTAAGAAACGCACCAATTTGAGGTCACATATAAACAAAAGCGGAAAAAGGTGGGGAACACGACCAATGTGGACCACCTGTTAGTGGGACATAAACAAGAACGCTTTCATACTTAAATTCCATTTGCACTAATGTGATCATCACGTCCTCCTGAATCTGCAAGTGCTTCATACTTTTTGTGTTTGCAATGGTTTATTTAAATGCTGACTCATGTCACATTGGAAAAGTTGTTTTCCGGATTTGCAGTATATCAAAGCCCTAAACCCAAAGTCAAGACTTCAATAAACACTCATCATTTACGTGATTAAAGCATGTTTCAAATGATGCAAGTATTTGTTTGGAAAAAGGTGGTGGTGAAAATGTCTGCAGGTTGTGTCAGGTGGGATGCGTTGGTAGAGAGACCCTACTGGCCAAACATTGTTCTCCATCTTGATGAGAAAACAGAATCCTTTCAAGAAAAGAAAGTGATTCTCTGCATGTTGAAGTCAGTAGTGCTCCAGCTCATCTCTGCCCCCCCTCTAGAGAGGCAGGTGAAGGGAGTAATGGGAGCCGGCCCCCCGGTGGACAGGTTTGCCCACCCTGCCGATGACGGGCAGTTTGTGGGCGTAGGCACGTGGCGGGACAGCAGGAAGAGGCGGGGGCGGGGCGAAATTGGTCTGGAAGGGGCGGCGGCCCTGGCAGCGCCGGCCCATCTGCCGCCCGCCAATCAGGAAGGTGAACACCGGCAGTCCTGTGGGAGGGGGGGTGAAGCGAGCTTTGGGGAAAACGTCTCGGGACAGACCGGCTGAACGCTGGTTGGGGCGGGACGAGGAGGATCTGGAGCGCTGCACCGAGGAGGAAGAGGAGGAGGAAGAGGAGCGAGCCAGGGACCTGAGGAGAGAGAAGAGAGTTTGCATCATTCAGTCATGAAAGGGACGTACGAATACTGATGGTTCTTTCTGTTGTGATTTATTCATCTTTTATGTCAAGGAAACCGATACATCTTTATAATAAAAAGGTCTTTAATCCCTTTATCAGAACAACTTTAAATGAGCACAAATTCAGTTCTACAGATTCATTAAACTACATGTAATACACTAGAGGAGGGAGAAGAACTCCCTCTGGAGGGAATTCAGGGAGTTCAGCCTCTGCAGACCATTGACATGCACCGACCTATAGAACCCACTACAGGAGAGGGAGAACCAAAACACATCATTCGTTCTCTCACCTTCCTGGTCCGGTGGCTGCCAGGCTGGGTGGGGGGGGGTCAGTGCGAGGGCTCCCGTCCTGCCTGGGGCTGATGTTGAGGTTGGCCGTCAGCTGGGGCATCTTTCGGGTGGTGTCTGGGTTGGAGGCGGGGCCAGCAGGCTCCTTCTTGGTGTCACTGTGCTGGGACAGGGTCCAGGGGGGGCTGCCCCACCCAGGCCCCGTGCTGAACCGGACCGCCAGGCTGTCCCCGAAGAAGGAGTACAGCTCGGAATACATGGCGGGCAGGGGGACGGGGGTCCACTCCTCCCAGGGGCAGCCGGCCCCCCCCCCGCCTGCAGGTGGCTGGCGATGCCCAGGGCGGCGTCTGACAGAGGCTCTGGGGGGGGGCTGAGGCCAGGGGAGCTCATCCTGTACCCCATGGCACCCCCCACGGAGACCTGCGGACCCCCGGACCCCCCCTCTGCAGGCTTACTCAGAGACAGAGCCTTCATCTTCAGCAGCCGCTCCACCGCCACCTGCAGGACACACAGGGAACTCTTCAGGGATGTGCGTCAGTGCAATGCTACATTGCTATATAGACTGTGACATTGAAATATCAATGGTGTGAAAAACATTACTTTAAGCATTTCTCCAGGAGTAGTACGAGTACAAAATGTCACATGTACATACAGTACAGAACTCCCAACAGGGATATAGCGTGTGATGACCCAAGGACCTTTACACTGCCACCATAGGCATTTCTATTTCGGTTCCAAATCATTCATTATTCCTCCCTTTGGTATTATGTGTAAGGTGTCATCATGAAAAATGACTGTAGTCAATTTCAATACAAAATGAAGTTGTTTGGATTGTGCCAATGACTCAAAGTGTCAAAATGAAAAATAATGATATCCATAATAACAATAATATCACCCCGTCCGGAGAAGGGTCCATCAATTCACAGGAAGAAAGAGCAAAGAAACTCAAAAAAGTCATTATTCTTCAAGAATACATTTAATCTCAAATTAAGGTTCTTTTTCAGATCTCCCAATGATCAGTGTTAAACTTTTAATGTGATGCTTAGCACAAAATAC